GTTATGCTTTGTTTTGTTTTGCTAAGACTTACATTTTGATCAAGCATATGTTCTATTTTGGAAAAGGTTCCATGAGCTGCTGAGAAGAAAGTGAATTCAGCTGTTTTCAGGTGAAATGGTCTGTAGATATCTGTAGATCCATTTAATTTATAGTATCATTTAGGTCAGAAATTTGATTTTGTTTAGATGACCTGTCCATTGGTGAAAGGACTGTGTTGAAATCTCACAGTATTATTGTATTGGGGTCTCTCTGGGATTTACTGTCAAGAAGTTTTTGTTCATTTGTTTACATAATTAGGTGCACTAACATTTGGGGCATACATGCTTACTACCCTTAAATCTTCTGGTTGGAGTGTTCCCTTTATCTATAGTGGTGATTTTCTTTCTGTCTTCTGATTAATTTTTGYTTAAAATCTGCTTTGTTAGATATGAGAGAGAATAGCTAATCCTGCTTGTTTTCAGACTCAATTTGCTTGGAATCCCTCCCCCATTCTTTTACATTCTGTCTGTGTATATCTTTGCCTCTTGTAAACAGCATATAGTTGGGTCTTATTTTTTAATCCATTCAGCCCCTTTAACTGGGGAGTTGAGACCATTTACATTCAGTGTTTTTATAGATAGTTGTTTGTTATTTTATGCCATTTTGGTTTGTTTGCCACATTTAATTCAGTCTTTATTTTCATTTAGTTAGCTTCTCTTTTAGTGAACATCACCTATGTGGGAGCTTTGGGGTTTATTTTTGAGTTCCACATGTAGTATATCTTTGTCGTGGAAAGTTTTTATTTCTGCATGAAATTTGAAAGATAGCTTTGCTTGGGTGTAGGGATCTTGGATGGCAGTTGTTTTCTTGTGGAGCTTGAAATATCTCATTCTAAGCCCTCCTTGATTCTAGGGTCTGAATTGAGAAGTCAGAAGTGAGCCTCATTGGTTTGCCTTTAAATATGACCTGACTTTTTTTCTTCTAGCTTTTAATATTCTTATTCTCTGTTAGGCATTTTGATTATGATGTGTCTTGGAGAGGTTCTTTTTTGATCTTGTCTTGTTGAGGTTCTATTATAAGCATCTTATATGTGGATGTCTATCTCATTTCTGAAGTTAGGAAAATTTTCTGCTGCTAGTTCACTAAGAGGTTCTCAATATCATTAGCCTGTATCTACATGTTCTCTTCTGTCCCAGTGAATTTCAGGTTTGTTATATTGAATTTTCCCAGTTGTATATTTTTATATTCTTATATCCTATGTTGAAAATCTGAAATTGTCTTCTAGACAGCCTAATCTGTTTAGTGACACTTCCAAGTGATAATTTAATTCATGTGTCTCTATCATTTCCAGGATTTTGATTGGTTTCTTTTCAGTATCTCCATTTCCTTCTTGAAATGTGCTTTCACCTCCTGTATTTGCTCTTAACTTTTTCCCTAGATCTTTTTAGTTTATCATTTTATAGCCTGTCTCTGGGATTTCATTCACTTCCACATATATCAGTTCCTTTGGGGAATTGTGAATTTTGGAGAGATGTTTGCCTGTTTCTTCATGACTTGTGTATCAGTTGAGATAATTTCCTCTTTCTTTTTATGCATTTGTCCTTTGGTATGTAGTTTTTTTGTTCGTTTGTTTTTTTTTTTTTTTTTTGTGGTGGTGGTTGTTTTGTTCTATTAACAAATGAGTTGATATCTAGGAGTAGAACCTGAGGTCTCTCTCTAGTTGTTCCTATTTGGGGCCTGGACATTGCTTTTTTTGTCTCCCTTATTCTCTGTGTTGAGATAGTGTTGAGGCTCTAGCAGGGCTAGCTCATATATCGAGTGAGGTTTGCTGTTTTGTGGTTGATATGTTGAGTGTTGCTCAGCAGCAGGATCTCCAATCTGTGAACTTGAAGTATCCTAATCACTTCCCAGCCCCTCTTAGAGAAAGGGGGAGCAAGTTATAGCATTAATGTTAGCAATCATTGTTGAGCCTTAAAATAAATGTCCTGTGTCTACTTTGACATCTATAACATGTATTAGCTAGCACCTGTAGAGGAATGGTGGGGTCAGCATTTAACATCAGCACCAATAATAAGTAACCATGAACTAGATCAGACATTAAATAGCAGATGTCTACTACCTCATCCACTGTATTAATAATCACAAAAACACGAATGGGGTAGGAATTACATAAACTGTGAAATTCCATCAGCTAGTGGGATACAGGTTCTTAAGAGAAAAATAGAGTAGGATGGCAAGAGAAATTTTGGATATATTTAAAAGTGAACAGAGGAAAAGCAGGTAGCAGACGACAGATATAAAGAAGGAGTAGTACATAACTAAAAGTAATAAAGCAGAGGAAGAGGGAACCGGACAGTTTGGCTATTAGTTGGGGAAGAGAGTGAAGAAAGCTTAATAAAAAGAACAAAAAACAAGGTATAAGCAATCAAAAATAAGATCAAAACAAATCATACCCATGTAAAATTTTATCCCCAACCAAAGCCTTATTCTAAAGCTAAATAATAAATGAAGAAAGCAGTTAAGATGAAAGAAAAATTTTATACACACATACATATATAATCAGCACAGCAGGAACACACAATCATATAGACTGGAAAAAAGTAAAAAAAAAAAAATTAAAAAAGGGGAAATAAGGAAAAAAATTTAATGAGAAATAAACGTTTTTTTTCCACTGCAGTGGTTTAAACTGTTGGCAGGAATGGATGTTCATTATTTATACTGTTGTGTATTTTTCAGTTTTGGGGATCTGTGACCCTTATGTCAAGGGCTGGGGTTGTTAAGTCCCCCTTCTTTTTTGTTTCTTGTCAAGCTGCCAGCTGTGAATGGCCAGGAGCTAAAGTTAGTTTTAGTAATTCTCAGCTTCTGGTCTCAGTGTAGGATGGGATAAACATGGGACTGCTGACAAATGATGTACTTCCATAGTGGGGCTAGTACAGAGGTATAAATTAGAAGAGGAGTATCTGAGATTTCACCACATACCCTGTTGCTGGGCAGATGCCAATCTGCTGGGCACCTGTGGCCTCCTGAAATTCTACTTTTAGGGTGAGGAGTCAGAACCTCCCAAGGCCTGACATATTCACTGCCATGGATGTGAATTATCCAGGATCAGACCTGGAATGCAGAGCTGACTGGTTACTGGCATCTTCCCAGGTACTTGCATTGGGCACCAATAACCAAAGAAGCTTGGTCTCCTCAGTATCCCAGCCTGAATTGCCTTACACAAAATTCTCATTGTGCCTGTTTCAATGATGCTGGTCCAGGTACGCTCTGAATCYCACAGTGGGCAACTGCTGGGTCAAGCTGGCAACATCTTTTATGAGTTCCTAATCTCCCACCTCTGCTCACTGCTATGTGGCCACTTAAAAATGGTTCCCACCAGACTCTACACCCAGTAGCCAAGTGATTTTGGTTGTTTTTCTCTCACCCCATTGTCTCTGGGTTTGGTTAAGATCAGCCTGCTTCTCTATTCTACAAGTTCCCCCAAGCCAATGTTATTCACCATGCTTTCCCTGTCTGATTTCGTTACTGTCCAGTGTTGAATTTCAGTGAATTCCCTTAGTCACCTACCTCACTAAAGTGGTATTACCACTGTTTAAATCATGAGCTGATGAACTGCTGGGGAGTGTACCCTTCTTCTAACTCACCATCTTTCTATCTGTCATGATTTTTTAAGAGGCTAAAATATGGTATTAACTGTATTGTGGTAATCTATCTTTCCCTTCTATAAGAATTCTGACTTTCCTAATGTTGTTGTTTTTTTTTTTTTTTTTTTAAACAACAGTCTTTCACATCATTGGTTATTTCTCATTGTGATTTTCATCTTGCTCCATCATACTTGCGGGTTCATAACAGAGATCCTTCCTGCAGTCTTATGGGAAATTGTGATAGGAAGGTTCTCGTGTCCCACGGGGCATTGTGCAGCCTATAGACTTGCAATGCAGTGGCTCTATTCTTTGTTAGGTTCCACTTGGTTCTGTCTCACCTTGAGATGAGAAGAAATTATGTGTACCATGAGAGGGTTCCTAAATACTTTATCAGCCTCCTCCAGAGGAAGCTTAAACCTGCTTTCCAGCACTTCTTTCTCAGGGCTATAATGGCTTCTGAATATGAGTAGCATCTCCTGGAGGGAGAGTGGAGACTGGATGGATAAAGCCTAACAGTCAACTCATGTCCTTCTGATTGAGATTTCAGAATGTGTGGTCAGTGAAATTAGTAAAGGAAGAGGAGTTCTTAAAGTTTCTGTGATAAGAATTTTCTGCATGGCTTATAAAACTATAGTGCCTAAAAGATGGGCATTTCTTCTTTAAAAACCTGGAATGAAGAATGTTATTCTTGGTAGTGACCACAGGTTAAGTTTCTGTGGAACAGTTGATCTGGTACCCTCAGTGAAGTGGTGCACAAAGTATTTGACATTGTGGTTGGCACCAAGCACACAATCTGTAAATGACAGATACCAAGTTATAATGATTGTCTTCTATTGAAAGGCCCCCTTCCTCATTCAGCTTTTTGCTTGTTTCTCAGAGAATCACATTTTGGAAGATGTGAACAAATGTGTCATTGCTCTCCAAGAGAAAGATGTGGATGGTCTGGACCGCACAGCTGGTGCAATTCGAGGTCGGGCAGCCCGGGTCATTCATGTAGTCACCTCAGAGATGGACAACTATGAGCCAGGAGTCTACACAGAGAAAGTTCTGGAAGCCACCAAGCTGCTCTCCAATACAGGTGCCGGGACTCTCCCTCCATAGTGCTTCACACACGGCCTGGGTAGGGCAGGCTATCATTCTGTTAGCCTGGGCCCTGTAGTTAGGAAAAAGGAAGTGAAAACTTGGCTCTGGTCTTACAGGTTCTGGGTAGTATACCACACTTGTGGGAAGCTAGTCTGCCAAAGTCAGGCTTCACAGGAACATATCATGGGTGATCATGGATAAACAAGGAACAAATCCCAAACATACTATTTAAGATGAACTTCTGAGTTAAGTATCCCATTAATGAGTAAATACTAAATTAATGGTTTTATTTTTCTTATCCTTTTTTCCCCCCATCTTCTTGGTATTGGGACACTGAGGCYGTCTCAACCTCCTGAGTTGCTAGGGTTACAGACATGCACCACCATGCCCTATTCTTAAACACGGCCTCAAGTTAGTCTCACACTTCAAGTTCCCAAGCATCCAAACCCTATATTGCAGTTTGTTGAGAGACAAAGATGATTATATGAGTCTTTGTAAATACTGTACTTAATTTACCTTACCAATAAATACTGTTCACATGGGGAGAAGTACAGTCTCCTTATGAGCCTTGACTTTTCTGACTTGAGGATTCAGGGAAGGTTGGTAGGATGCTGTCTGCTCACTAGTGCAACCTGCCCTGTTTTTTTCTCTTCAGTCATGCCTCGTTTCACAGAGCAAGTGGAAGCAGCTGTAGAAGCCCTCAGCTCAGACCCTGCTCAGCCCATGGATGAGAATGAGTTTATTGATGCCTCTCGCCTGGTTTATGATGGTATCCGGGATATCAGGAAAGCAGTACTGATGATAAGGGTGAGTAACTGCATTCCAGACATTTTAACAGCCTCTCTCTTATCATATGCTAAACTTGAGCTATGCGTCATTCTGGAACTCAGCAGATGCAGTGGCAATATATTAAAACCATGAATCTAAAAGCTGTTAGAATGAGATATATTTAATTATGTTGTCTAAAATGACTGTTAAGGGGCTGGTGTTGTGGCTCAGCAGTAGAGCGCTCACCTAGCATGTGCAAGGCCCTGGGTTCGATCCTCAGCACCACATATAAAAAAAGGTGTTGTGTGCAACTACAACTAAAAAGTAAATAACATTTAAAAAGCAAATAAGTAAATAAAATGACTGTTAACTAACAGCCCAAATTTGGGCTGAGAAGGGGAGCTAGCATGAGTTGGCCTTGAAGACTTAATTTAGGGCAGATACTATAGTGTGTGGCTTTGGCTTTAATTGGAGGGGAAACTACAGAAATACAGATTCTTAAGTTAATTTTAGAGAAGGAAGTATTTCCTTAACATAGGCTAAAGTTATTGTTTACATTAAGTGTCCCTCCTGGAAGGGATATGCTAGACTTTTAGGCAGGATGCTAGAATCTTGGGGTATACTGCCTCCTTGTTTAACCAGTCTTCTCCAAGGAAACAGCAGTTCTCATTGCTGCAAGAAAGTCCTTGGCCTCTTCTGGGGCATAAACCAACCGGTTTTAGAAACTACCAACCCCACCCTAGTACACCCCTATGGTGCTGGGCCTAGCTGTCCTGGCTGTCTGTCCCACAGCAGTTGATTCCTTGCATGCTGCTGAGAGCATAAGCATGTTGCTCTGGAGTCTGAGGAGACAGGGTCTATTAACGTTCTTCTCCGGGCCAACTGGATGGCCCTTGCTGTAACTGCAGAGCAGGCATATGGAATATGGCATCTGCCTGCTGTACAGATGGTGCATTGATGGTGCTCATGCAGGCTCCAGGCTCATCTGGATGTATTGGTGGGGCCCCAGCTGATGGAGGCTTTGCTGTCTTTATTCCTGCTCTGTGCTAAGGAACCCACATTCAGCTAAAGCCTGGTATAGCTGTGTGTGAGGGTTCCAAGGTCGCGTATACCAGTGGTGATGTACATTTTGCCAAGGTTCTTTCCATATTAGCATACATCTAGAAATAGAATTTTAAAAGCCCTAATGGCAGGGCTAGAGTTGTGGCTCAGTGGTAGAGGGCTTGCCTAGCACGTGTGAGGCCCTGGGTTCGATCCTCAGTACCACATAAAGATAAACAAATAAAGACGTTGTGTCCATCTCCAACTTAAAAAAAAAAAAAAAAAAAAAAAAAAGCCCTAATGGCAGAGGTGTGACTGAATGTCTGAGGCTGAGCCAGAATGGGTTGAAGAGGGTTGACGCTGTGTTCATCTAAGAGATGCTTCAGGCCCTGTAGTGCTGTCTTGGTTGTGAGAAACCACTTCCTAAGAGCAGGCAGGAAGCTTGAGTTCTTCATCCAGTGAATTCCCTTGTCTCTCTTGATGCTGATTTCTTCTCTTAAAAATGGAGGTAATGGTGGCTTTGATGGTTTTACAGAGACAGTGTAATTGATGGGTTCCACAAGGGCCTGGCACCTAATGGCTGTTCTTACCATGTTGATAGCTATGCTGGGACTAAAGAATGACAAAGGTCTTAACAGAACTTCCTCTGGACAACAGCCATGTGAAGAGTGATAGAATATACAGGGAAGCCTTTCAGGACAAAAGTGAGGTAGCCAGGAGTGCTTATGCAAGGATGAGGAAAGAGGCTTCATTTGGAGACACTGTGATTTAGCTTCTCACTTGCTGTTCTGCTCTGCATCCCTATTTCTGTCTCATAATTCCCCTACTTCAACTTCACTTCCATAGCCATGCCTTAGCCACGTCACTACCAGTATCTACACCCCCTCCATTATCCCAGTTTCAGTGTTCAACCTACTCCTTCCAGTACTGTGACTCAGAACAGTCCTTTGAGTTCACCAATACTTTAGTTGGCACTCCCACTTGTTATTTGCATTCAACCCTCAGGTCCTTGGTTCATTCATTTATTAATTTTGAGTCTGGGTCATATCCATTTCCCCTCTTCCTTATTCATACTTTGCAAAATGTAGTCCTAGTGAAGTCCTGCACTCTCTTGCTGGGTATGGTACAGATCAGTACAGCCACCCTGACAGAGGTCACTGAAGCCATGACCACGTGTGGGCCCTTGGTGCCCAGTATCAGTTGTCCATCTCCCAATTCTAGCCTAGAGTCTATAGCTGTTTCATACTTCCTTGCTCTCCTCAGCCCTCCCACACCTGAGCCCCCATTTCCTAATGTGGCCTTTTTGCTGATTCCACTCAGGATAATGAGGCACTTGGAAGTCTTTCCCCTCTGCTTGTACCCCATGGCTTCCTTTTGGTACCACGGACATCCCTGATTATGCTCCTGGCTGAGGCCATCCCTGCAGCAGGCATGAGATTCCATGTTCATTACCTTACTTCATCTACTTTTTCTGTTGGTTATTCCATAGTAAGAGGGGAAAGAAATCTCTTGACCCTTTTCCTTCTCTTTGTTGGTTTGTCATCTCACTAACATTGATGGGGCTGTTGGGAAGTCCCTGGCCAACATTGAGAAGCTGACTCTCCAATGTGTAGCTTGTGTAGCTGACTTGCCCACTCCCTGAGCACTTGTTATGCCCAAGCTTCTTACCTTGATCACAACATCATCGTCCACATTCAGGCCAAACCTTGGATTCTCCTTAAGTTCTCTCTGTTGCATACCTCTCATCTGGTCTTACTGGCTTTTCCTTCCTGATAGAGAATCTGAACAAGCCCCCAGCATCTGTCACCTGGTCCATCTGGAGATGCCTACAGTCTAATTGTCTGAGAGCAGCCAGGGTGATGCCTTCAAGCTTTGGTTAGATCATGTCATCCACTGCTTCAAACTCTCCAAAAGCTGCCATCACTCAATTCTTACACTGGCCTGTGAAGCCTTCTGGGATCTGATTCTGTTGCCTTTCCATCCTTGTGTCCTGTTGCTGTCCCCTTTACTCAGAGCAGTGAGCCAAGTCCCTCTTTTGTGGCCTCCTTGCTATTCATTTGCTTCCCCAGGCAAACACTCTTCCTCCATCTCCTTTCACCTTCCCACAGCACTGCCTTAGGAGACCTTTCCTGACTACCCAGTTTCCCTTCACTGCTCTATTTATTTATAACATTTGTATGTATTTCACTTATTAGTTTGTTGCCACTGTTCTCATTAGATTATGTAAAGAACAGGTATCTTTGTGTCATTTTGTATCTCTAAGGCCCAGAATAGGGCCTCAGAYACTCAACCTCAATGGATATTTGAATATTAGAAAAGGAGTTACTGGCTTTCTTGGCAGGAGTAGTTCTTTGGTCTGTGATGGGTGGTTGGGGGAGGTTAGAGATGATGTTAGGAGACCCTGCTTTGAAAAGCCCCTGAATGCACAACACTAAAGATATTTGTGACCACAGCATTAAAATCACCAGTGGTGGCATCAAATTTTGTGCCATAAAATCAGCAGGACCCAAGGGTCTCAATGTTGATGTGCTCTCTGGTACCTTGTGTGACATATACCATTCTTACTTTGTCTTATTCAGGGAGGAGCCCAGCCTTTGCACATGTCAGAACCTTTGATGCTCTTGTTGGTTTCTGAGCACTTCTCACATGTTCTGCATTTGAACCTTACAACAAGCCCCTGCCCTGGGCTTGGGTGAGGGACAGGTGCAGATAAGGGCCTCACCTTGCTGCCCTCTTGTCACAGGCCAGCTGGCTAGGCTGAGAGCCAATCCCAGCTGTTCCACTTGCTGCCCCCTTTCTGATAACTCCTGGAAGACAACACTGTGTTTCAAGTAGCTAATCATGAGGCTGATAGTTTGTGTAAAATAAGACTTTATTTCATAATTCAAGCAAAGAGCTAAAACCAATAAGAGTCCATTTGGAATTTACTGAACCCTTACTTGCCTCTTTTCCTTTGATAAAAGTTTTTTAAAAAATCTACAAAACTTTAGAATACATTGCCTATTTTTACTCCTTAAAACAATCTTTCATTCCCTAAGAGAAAGTCCAGTATTAATTTTATGTTATTTTCTTTTTGTCAAAAAGTAGGAAAGTTCTATTAGTCTGATTAATACTGTAGAAAACACCCCTATTTTTAAGACCTTTTCCACCAACAATAGTTCTCACCTTTGTCTTCAGAAGCAGCTGTTGGAAAAATAACGTTTCAAATGAAAACCAGCTAGTTGTGCACTTCATAGTCCTAGCTGCTTGAGACGTTGAGGCAAAATGATCTCTTGAGCCCAGAAGTTTGAGACCAATCAGAGCAACATAGTGAGACCCTGTCTCAAAAACAGGGAGGGGAGCAAGCCAAATATCATACAAAGAAATTGTACATTTATATATAAATATATTTATATATAAATCTGTGTTACAAAGAATTAAGCCCTGCCCCCTGTAAAAGAAGCCTTTTTTAGGAAGTGCTGATGTGGGGCCCATACATGAATGATGAGTGATTTTAATTACCTGTTAGTGTTTGGAAATCTGCACCTTAAATCCCAGAATTCTGGGTCCTTCATGCTTTTGGCCAAGAAATACAGTGTTGTTGGAGGCCCAGGGTTGTGTCTGACTCACGATCTCTGTCTTGGTGGCAGACCCCTGAGGAGTTGGATGACTCTGACTTTGAGACAGAAGATTTTGATGTCAGAAGCAGGACGAGCGTCCAGACAGAAGATGACCAGCTGATAGCTGGCCAAAGTGCACGGGTAAGGAAGTGCTCCTTGGGGCATTTTAACTTGTTCTGCAGACCTTTCCTGTCCCTTTCAAGCCTTGCCTTTTTCTCTTCCAGGAAAACACTCTCAGTATTTTTCTCTAACAGTAGGACTGAAGTTAAACCTAAGTTGTGGCACCTGCTGTTTAACTGGAAGCAGAGCCGGAACATGGGCCTCCTCCTCAGCTGTGCCCTAGGGTTCTGGTTTATGATAAATCCCTGGGTCAGAAACGGCTTAGGATCTAGTCAATGCAACATTTGTTAAAAGGATTGTGAAATGTGAAAAAGATTGCTGCCTTTGCCCAGCTCACTGATACCATGGATATGAGCTATTTTAATTATTCATGAGTTTAAAAAAATAACAGTGGTACATTCAAGAAAACCAGTCAGTCATTGCATTCAAGTCATTAAATCTTCAATCAATAGCATTTGCTTTTGGAAGGACACCAAGAAATATTTCTATGGAGAATTTTTTTTTTTTTTTTAACTCCTTGGAAATCCATCTTGAGCAGTGACCATGTCACTGTTTTAAGTCCTGCTCAGGCACGAACACTTCAGGAAACGAAGAGGCAGAGCCTTRGCCCTGGGCCTGTGGCCTTGAGGGCTCCAGGTGCTGCTTTAACATGGTTTAAGTGGCTGTCAGATAGCCGCTTAATGTATGTTCCACTAGAATGTATGTTCCTCAGCAAATTCTTCTCTGCCTTTCTCTTCAAAATTAACATCCTAAAGCTACTTCTGATATACTTTGAAAACTTGGACATGTCCATTCAGAGCCCGAAGGCTCTGAATGAGCTCCACACCTTCTTTATCGCCTCCTCTCATTTTCTGGGAGGCAGAAGATAAAACTTTTAAAGAATTAAACCAAATTTAAACCAGTTTCTGTTCCTACATAGATGTGATTGTGAAAGTTCCACACTAGCTTCTACCCCTCTCATGCTCTTTTCCTGCACACTAAATCTTGCTCTTGAAAGTGGTTTGGAAATTTAGGCTGCCATAAATGTCAGTAAAAAATGAGAAGAAATAGCCCTTCAGGAAAAATGAACCCTATTAAAGCATTATCCAACCTATGTCATACACTGCCTGTTGGAGATATTCTTGGCTAATGCACTGTGAGAACTTCACACTCTTTACATAAGAGCTTTCTGTACTTCTGATTGTAGGCAATCATGGCTCAGCTTCCCCAGGAGCAAAAAGCAAAGATTGCGGAACAGGTGGCCAGTTTCCAGGAAGAAAAAAGTAAGCTGGATGCAGAAGTGTCTAAATGGGATGACAGTGGCAACGACATCATCGTGCTGGCCAAGCAGATGTGTATGATTATGATGGAGATGACTGACTTTACCCGGTGAGCAGCACCCCACCCTGGCGGGCTGATAGGAGACRGGACAGTTTTCTTCCCCACAGGCCAGGTTGCTTTGTAAGACATCTTCTGTTCTGTTCATCTCTGACCCTTCGGGGGTGTCATGGACAGGGATCCTTGTTCTTGTTTTTCAGAGGTAAAGGACCACTCAAAAATACATCAGATGTGATTAGTGCTGCCAAGAAAATTGCTGAGGCAGGATCCAGGATGGATAAACTTGGCCGAACCATCGCAGATCACGTAAGTGATGAACTTTCCTGAACTTATCTCTGAGCTTATCCTAGGCCCATACAGTCCAGATTGACCTATTGCTGAGGTGGCCATTAGTGATCATAGCACTCTTATATTATCCAAAAATTGTTCTGACCTATTTGAATCACACCATAAATTTCTAAGGATTTCTGTATTCCTGTATTGTCTTTTTTTTTTTTTTTCCTGTATTGTCTTTGACAAACCTGAGGAGCTAGGTCTGGTTCCCATTAGAATTCATCTCAGTTAATATACAATGAACACTTGCTGTTGATTTATTTATTTCTCAGTTCTTAAGAACTTCAGGTCTGAGCAGAAACTGATTCTGCCAACCCTGACACACTAGAAACACATGTATCTCTCTCACGGTTTATTTCATATAAAAATCAGGAGCCCTAGTGGGGTGGGGTAGTGCACATCTGTAATCCAGCTACTCAGGAGACTAAGGCAGGAGAATCACAAATTCAAGGCTAGCCTGGGCCAATTTAGGGAGACCTTTAAAAGTGTCAGTGCTTGCCTAGCTGTGTGAAAGAATCCCCAGCATGGGGACCCCCACCCCATTGTCTGTCTAGCTGGGGACAGACTTCCATGTTCTTTGTATTGCCTGTTCTCAGCCAGCAGTTTCATCCCTTTATTCCCTCATAGTAATAGGTCAGAAAACTATGCTTCTATCTCCTGGAACATTTCCTATGGTGCTCTAAGACTTATCAGAGAAGCTAATTTTTCCCTCCACATTCTTTTCTCTGAATTATTCAAACTTTCAGCCTCATCTACTGCCAGATGAGTGACAGCTGCCCCTCATTACTCAAAGCAAATATTCTGAAATCATCCTTCACACCACCCAGTAAGAAGCCTTGTTGCTTCTAGTGACACCATCAAAGTTTTTCCTGTCTGAAATTAACAGCTCTATCCAGAGCTCCATTCCACCTATCTTGACCACCATGGCCTCTCCCTTCCTGCTCTTTCCTGTCTTCACCCTATTCTGCATGCAGCTACCAACACTGCCATCATAAAACACAGGGCCTTCTTAGAAAAAAATTCAGTCTCCAGAATGAACTACAAGCCTCATTTTATACAACTCTGTTGTTCACAGTGAGGCCCCAGTCTCATTGGAAGAAAGTGTTTCAAACATTTGAGAGGTGTGAGGATTTCTCCTTTAGGTAAAGCAACCTGAGATTCAACAGTATCAGGAGCTGGGCAGGGCCACTGTTTCCCTGTATTTGRTCAAGGTTTCTTGCTTTGGTTTACTTATTCATCCTCGATCTTTGCCTCAAATGAATGTCTCCTATCATTGGCTGTTTAATATTTGCACCCAAAACTGGGCAAGTAAAAAGCTTCATGGCAGAAGAGCTATTTGTTTGATTGGGTAGTGTCCGTAGCTTAACACATTCTTTTCTATGTAATCAGACTCTTGCTGAGACTTTTTAGGGCCATATGCTTCCTCCCTACTAAAAAATTGAATCCTTGGCAGTGGTGGTTTCTTCCAAGTTGTGGAGTTAGTGAAAGGAGGGCTCAGGAAGTCTGTATGTCCCATGCTATGCAGCACAATTAGGGCTCCCCGAGGGGACTTGCCTCCTTCCTTGAGCCAAGTGGACTAGGGATGTGAACACCCCAAATAACTGGGTAATTTATCTCTCTTGCCCTTTGCTCCAGCAAGAGGAGAGGAAACTTTCAGAACTGGGCCTAGGGTGGGGTGCTGTCACTGGGCTTGCAGTGTTATTGAGCCTGCTGAGTTTGTTCTCCCCTCAGTGTCCAGACTCAGCCTGCAAGCAGGACCTGCTGGCCTACCTGCAACGCATTGCCCTCTACTGCCACCAGCTCAACATCTGCAGCAAAGTCAAGGCTGAGGTCCAGAACCTTGGTGGAGAGCTTGTTGTCTCTGGGGTAAGTGTTAGTGTATTCCTACTCACCACCTTTTCTTACCACTATGTCTAAAATGAAAGCAGCCTCTAGTCTATCTATATAAACTCCTCACTTGGAGAACATGTGCTAGGCAGAAACTCCCAAGTTCTCTCTTGGTCCCCAGAGGCCACAAGCTGCACATCTCCCTGCAGAATTGTAGCTCTGTTTAGCATGGCATGATTAGTGATAGCTACAGCCACTACCAGAGCTGGCCACTCATTGGGAAAAATATTTTTATCTATCTTTCCCAGAGAAGAATTAAGCCTCTTCAGAAATTGCAAAGTAGACAGTCTGCTTTCTTCTACCAAAAGTGCAGAATTGTAGCTATTCTTTTTCCTGTTAATCAGGTCTCAATTTTGGGTCCTCCTCACCTTGTTTTGCTGAGTCCCCACAACTTCTGTTAATCCCATGGAATTTCCTTTAAAAGGAATATTTCAGCCAGGCACAATGAGACACAACTATAATCCCAGCTGCTCGGGAGGCTGAGGCAGGCCTGAGCACCTTAGCAAGACTGTCTCTAAAAAGGTGGCAAAGTGTTTGGGTAACATACACAAGGCCAAATACTGCAAAAAAAAAAAAAAATTAAAATTGAACATATTTACACCCTTTACTCATCTGTCTTCTATGGAGCAATCTTCCAGATCCTCTAAAATGAGGGAGGAGATGCTTGTGTCATGAATGAAAGCAGAGGGGGAATGGGTATATTGGTCAGATAGGGGCCTAACTGGATTCCTCCTCAGTGCTTCTAGTTCTTCAGTCACTCAGTGTCAAAAAGATAGATGCCAATCCACCTCCAGTGTTTGTTTTGTGAACGAATGTTTGAGGGGTGGAAGAAGGCAAGATGTTGATGACCTATATACTTTCTTACACGCCCTTTCCTTTGTCAGAGGATCTGAAACATGGGTATTTTAAGGCTTTTTGTATCCAATCAGAAACAAGGTTGCTGGCCAGTATTCTGTACTCTGGGGACCTGCCCAGATTGTGGTGCTAGAGGGTCATTCCCATCAGATATGACTCCTTACTGTCCCATTCGTGCCTTGTAGGTGGACAGTGCCATGTCCCTGATCCAGGCAGCCAAGAACTTGATGAATGCTGTGGTGCAGACAGTGAAGGCATCCTATGTAGCCTCTACGAAATACCAAAAGTCCCAGGGCATGGCTTCCCTCAACCTTCCTGCTGTGTCCTGGAAGATGAAGGCACCTGAGAAGAAGCCCTTGGTGAAGAGAGAGAAGCAGGATGAGACACAGACCAAGATTAAGCGGGCATCTCAGAAGAAGCATGTGAACCCTGTGCAGGCCCTCAGTGAGTTCAAAGCCATGGACAGCATCTAATTCTGCCTTAACCACCTGCCCCCACCCTCGGGGGCTCTTAAAGATCAATCACTGTTCTTCACTCAAGTATACTTGCTAAGTAGAGAACACTTACATAGGAAGATTTTGAAACCAGCCAGGTGGTGAATTTTGCCAGGATATGTTTAAATTGGTCAAAAAATGCTTTCAGATTCAGGAGCATATTTCTAGCTGTATTTTTATAAGCTTAAATAAAAATTCCATAACCAAAGCAAATCCCACATTAACTTGTTAGTAATACTCAATCAGATTGGAATACCCATTCTCTCAGCAAAGAGAGTGGACTCAACTGTGGAGGAGGAATGTCCCAGAAAGGTCTTGCAAGGGATAAAAACATATCATGAAAAACAAAACACAAAAAAAATCGATTATTTTTTATGAAATAAGAATTATAATGCATGGCTACAATTACTAATGCACTCTGCTGCAGAATATTAATGTTGCTTTTTTCAGGCTGGGATGTTGGGATGCCGTAATTTGAACATGCTTTTTTCTCCCCAGCTGCATAGGCAAAGTCATCATTGGGCTCACTTCTAATAATTGCAGTGTTTCCTGCCTTAGGCTTGCAATAGAAGCCTGACAGAATGAATAGTGTTTGCTTAGGCCATAATTTAGATTTTACCTTATTTGTGATTACTACATTGATTACTATAGCTACAAGGTATACTTTTACTGTCTTATTTAAATTTTATTAATTTGAATGTTTTTTACACTAGCTTTTCCCAATAAAGTCCACTATGAAACCAAATATAAGAGGCTGAAGTCACTGTATCTGCTTTCAGGAAGCGTCTTGGGGACTGGGTTGCAGCTCAGTGGTGCAGCACTTGCCTAGGGTGTGAGAAACCCTGTATCAGTCACCAGAACCACAATACTCTTGGACTTGTCACAGCATCTGCGCCCTCCCCATCTTCTCCCAGGAYAGTTGCTCAGTGAGGGACACTATGCCCATAGTTTTAGGGAGGGCCATATTGCCTCATAGGCTCATGACAGGCCACAGTCTTGTCCCGTTGAATATCCCAACCTGTACCTCCATCTTGGGAACTCACATGAACATTCTTCAAGGTTCACATCAAGACCTTGGAGGCACAATTGATTCTTCCTTTCTTTTCTTAACATTCAACCATGCCATGAAAATAAGTGCCTTAGAACTAAAAACTCACCTTAGCTCCCTGTCTCTTCCCAATAACCATACCCTTCTTWGTCAAAACTCCTTAAAGAAATGGCTGTCACTGTCACCTTTATGTAAGTTCTGTCACTTCAGTCAGCTGTCATCTTGCCTGCTCTAGCATCATCCCTCTTGCTTCTACACTGCCACACTGGCTTTTTCTTCCACGATCCCACTGACCACACCCAAGGAATGGTCAGGGGGACCAGTCCTTGCGCAAAGCACTTCCATTTCCAGATGCCTCCCCCAGGTTTTCTGTCTTCACCAACAGCTTTTCTGTGTTGAAGGACGTGTCTGTACCTGGGCCTCTTCCTTTCACTGTCTATGCTCACTCTTCTAATTCAGCCTCTATTTCTATCTTTTAAACTGTCACTTGGATGCCTAATAACATCTCAAGCTTGATCCGTCTGGACCACACTGCCATCACTGCCCTCTACCATTCATGCCCAAAGCCCTTCTTGCTATTTTCCCCACCTCACTAGCTGGCACTACTAGTCACCTCATTTCTCTGGCCAAATATCAAAAAAGCAAAACAATCTCTTTAAAATATAAGATCTTCCTACTTTTCCTACACCACCTCTGTTTACATTCCGGGTCATGCAATCAGTTATTGCTGTTTAACAGATTTGCAAAACTCAGCAGCTAAAACAAATAGTTATTACCGCACAGTTTATGAAGGTCAAGAACCCGGGAGCAACTTGGCTGGGTGGTCAAGGTTCAGGGTCTCATGACCATGACACGGCAGTCAGGACATCAGTTGAGGCTATGGTGTCAGCTTGACTGTGGGGCGGAGGGGCAGGGTATCTACTTTCAAGCTAGTTGATGCTGCTGTTGGCAGAGGCCTCAGATCCTTGCCTTGTGGGACCTTCCAAAGAACAGCTCACAACATGGCAGCTGGCTTCCCCTAAAGTGAATGATCTGAGAGCAGCAGCAGCCAGATGGAAGCCACAGTGTTCTTTTAAAACCCGATCTGGAAAATGATTCCCCATCACTGCTGCTACATTGTTGGTCACAGACCTATGCTGGTGCGACCAGGAGGGGGGCTGTCAGCCAGCCAGCAGCAGCCTCCCTGACCCAGCTTCCCGCAGCAGCCTGTAGCCCATGTGAGAGAAGCCAGTTCACGTCTCCCCCTGAGCCCAAACTTTGCATTGATTTTCGGACCCTCAGTAAAGGTCAAGGTCTTCAGTAATGGCTATGGCTCTGCACCCTCTGGCCTTTTCTAACCATTCTTCATCATTCTCTTTCTGTCCCTGGTCTCCCTGACATTCCTTCAACATGCCAAGTGTGTCCTGCCTCAACCTGTGTACATGAGGTCCCCAGCCCGGAAAATACTTCCCAAGGGAGCCCTGTGAATTCTCTAGCATTTCCTTCAACTGTCTCATCAAAAGTCACCTTATTAGAAGGACTGCCATCCTTATAGTGTCCTCTCTTCATGGCTTTGAACTCTACGTATCCATTTGTTTCTGTTGTGTACTCTTTGTGGGCAGCAAATCTTTATTTTGTTCACCACAGAATCACCAAGGTCCAGCATACTTCCCACACATGGAAAGCACTAGAGAAATAGTTGCTCCACGTTCTGTGGCTACTTTACCAGCAGCCTCCCTTTACCTGGCCCCTGCTGACACTCAGGGATGTTCTTATTTTTTTTTTTTTTTAATTTTATTTGTCAGTGGACCTTTATTTTGCTTATTTATATGTGGTGCTGAGAATTGTACCCAGAATTGTACCTCTCACATGCTAGGACAGTGCTCTACCACTGAGCCACACCCTCAGCCCTCTCATTGGCTTTTGTTCTTCAGTTTGTCACAATCCAAAACTGTCTCCCACACCTCAGCTCCAGATCCAGTTCTGTCTCCATCTGTTTCACCTGATGTCCACCACCCACCCCAGCAAGACCCTGGGGTCATTGCAGAGGCTCCTGAATTGTCCTCAGCCCTGGACAGCTGCACTTATTTGACTGCCTCAAACCCCTGTCAAAGGCCTGTCTGGCTGCCCCCCCCTTAACCATCTGATCACTCTTTTTTGTGTCCATCCCTGGGGCCCTGCCTTTTGCATTCACACTGCCCTCTAGAAGCATTTCCCAGAGGGCCCTGGCTCTCACAGAGAGCCCGTTACGGAGCCACATTCTTCCCACCCATATGGGTCACAGGCCTCACCATCGCTATAGTCTCTCCTGACCTTGATGCCATTATTTACAAGTTTGTTTTGTTTGAGACAGGGGTCTCGATATTTTGCCCAGGCTGGCCTTGGAACTCAACTGACCTTTTTACCTCATTTTCCCAAGCTTCTGGAACTATTGGCGTACAGCCCAGCTTAAGAAGTCAAATTTTTAAAATTTAAGCTTTTTAAGCAGTATCTATTGTTTGATGTGCTAATATTCTTATAATATTACAATAATATTTTAATATTAACTTATGGATCACTTAGTCATCCTTTATAGCACAATGAGAAATAGCAGTCCCACTGTCCCTTGCCCCCTTGGCCTGTTCCCTTCCCTGCCCCAGCAGCACCTCCTGGGACCATCACAGCACCTGCCTCCTTGGAAGCAGGAGTCCCTCCGTTCAGGAACTCAGCACTGGCTCTGTTCCTCTCCTGTGTCCAGAAAAGGACAAAAAAAATCATAGAGTTATGTTAACACTTATTGATTTAAACCACTCTTATCAAATATGCTAGAGCGCCAAAACTGGCAACCAAGAATGCACCTCCAGAGACCTAGAGAGCCTAAGCTGAGCCTAATCCTGAAACCCTACTGTCATCCCCGACCCGAGCAGCGCAGCCTGGGCAGAATGTGAGGAGACACTGTGTCCCACCCTGCTCTGGAGAAGTGCTGGTTCCCACCCCTTCGCTGTTCACTAAGGGGACTGCCTGGCCTCTGAATTCAGACACTTGCTCTGGGCCAGGACCTACATGCTGTTGCTATCAACAGTTTCCATGACACACCCGGAGTAAGGCCTGGGGACAGAAGCCAAGTCCCAGCTCCCTCTACCCCTGTCACACAACTCTTGTGGCCCCTCCAACCTGCTCCCCACCACCTGCACACACCGACCTCATGCAGAACCCTCAGCATCCTCCTCGCTGGCAGTGCCTGTGCCTTCCTCAGGGGGGCTCCCCCTCCCACTGCTAACCACCTGCCCTGGGGTGGCTCCTGTGGCCCCAGACAGATACTTCAAAGGCCCCCTCACCTCTGCAGCCCTTGTGCCCACAGCCTCCAGCCTGCTCCAACCTCCAGCCTGCTCCAACCTCCACCCAGGCCAGGGCCACCCCCTCACAGGAGAGGAGCTGCCACGTGCTGGCACCCCAGGGCCAGTGTCTGGCTTTACCATATCACCACATTTCATCTCCAAAACTGGTGATGGGCCAGTGCTAGCTAGTACCACTCCTCCAACCTCCTAGCTGAAGAAGTGGACGGAGAAAGGTGAAGGGGCTCACCCAAGTTGCCTAGTGGCAAGTGGCCCAGGCCACCGCCAGATTCAAGACCCAATCCCTCTAATGCCCCAGGTTCTGACCACCTGTACTGTAGCCTCAGAGGTCCCTTACAAGAGATGACAGTGACCACTTCCCCCTCGCTTCTGCTCCTACCCAGCTTGTTCTCCTTGAGGTCTCTGGTGTGGACGAGTTCCAGGGCTTGGACCTTGGATTTGGGTCCTCCTCTTCTCTTTGTCCAACCACATCAGCCTCCAGGCTGATGGTCCCAGGCAGTGGTGGCTAGCAAATGTTTAACAGACGGCTCTCTGGGGCAGGAAAGGGTAAGGGTGTGTGTGTGTGTGTGTGTGTGTGTGTGTGTGTGTGTGTGTGTGTATACACACGTGTGTGTGCATATGCACACATACATTTCTTTATTATGCATTATATTGCTATAAAGGAGTAAAGCACACAATTTACAAATAATATTAAAATACACAACACTCTACTTTGAACTTCGCCTAGCTGAATGATTCTTATAAATAGGSTTTCACTGATTTTTGCAGCGCTCGTTTCCATAGCCATCCTATGGCTGCCACTGACAAATGAGTCTAGTTCCGACATGAATGTTGCTTGACTGATATTTTTGTTTACCTTAAGGAGCAAGATGAAACAACAAACCCTTTATGGTGGAATTGTACTTGTTAGAAAATGAGTGACTTCTTTGTGGAATCAGCAGTTGTGAATTACTGTAAAATGACTCTCTCCTTTTTTTGTGCTATTGACAATATCACTGCTACAAACAACTTACTTTTAACTGGCATCGTTAACTTTTTCCTCATCATTTTCTTAAGTCTAGACTATGAACAAAGTGGTAAGTTGATCTGCAGCATGTCCCGATTTCCATGGTGTAAATACTGTGCCACATGACTGGCAGTCACTATGGCAGCCATCTCCTGGACACATCCAGAGCCGGATCATCTCCAGATCATGGTAACATGTAGGCATTAGAAAAGGATTTGCTTTCTGAATTCATTACCTTTTTGAAATTTGGGTTGGAATTCAAGTACAATCCACTCTTTCTGATGTACAAGCCCTGGTGGCCCACGCCAATAATTCCACAGCTGGGAAGGCTGAGGCAGGAGGATCAGGAGTTCAAAACCAGCCTCAGCAACTTAGCGAGCCCCTACGTCAAGACAGATAAAGTATTTAGAAAGGGCTTGAGACATGGCTCACTGGTAAAGCACCCCTGGATTCAATCCCTAGTACAAAGCGAAACAAAACCCCAACTCATCCCCCATCAAAGTCCTGGCAAAACCCTTTCCTTATATTTTCACCTTTTCCCGAACACAAACAGAGCCCTACAGCCTTTCGAGTCTGGCCAAACTGCATTTCAATTAGCATGATGCTTGTTCGATGTGTGTGTATTGTTGTGTATAGCCTTAGCTCATTTCTTTTTTACTGCTGAGTAGTATTCCTTATTCCCCAGATGAGGGCCACCTCAGTTGTCTCCAGTTTTTGTTTTTTAAAAAACAAGTAAAACTGATATACAAGCATTTGCATCCAAGGTTTTATGTAAACAAATTTTTGTTCATCTCGACTAAACACATAGGCATGAGACCACTATATTCTGTGCCTAGAATATGTTTACAAGAAACTCTGCACGCTGTTTTCTATGGGGTCTACGCCATTCTGCACCCTCCAGCATGCAGTGAGTGTCCAGTGGCTCCACTTTCTCCTCCTGTGGTATCAACAGGCTTCTTTGTTTCCGTGGGTTTTTTAAGCCATTTAATAGGCAGATAGTAGTGTCTCGCTATGSTTTCATTCTATGTTTCCTTAACTACTAATAAGGTTTGGCATCTTTACATGTGCTTCTCTGCCATCTGCATCTTTGTTGGTGAAATGTCTTTTCAAATCTTTTGCCTAGTTTTTATTGGGTTGGGTATTTTCTTATTGGTGATTTTCTTACATACTTAGTCAAATATCTGATTTGAAATATTTTCCTGGTTGTAACAAGTTTTTTATTCTCTTAACAGTTTATGGAATAAAAGTTTTTCCAATTTATCAATGTTTTCATTTTATGAATGGTGAGTTTGATGTTCTGAGAACTCTGACTCCAGGTCTCAAAGATTTCTCTCCTGTTTTCTTATGAGTTTTATCATTTTATATTTAGGTCTATGATTGATTTTGAGTTAAACTTTGTACAAGATATCAGGTATACAGGTCAGGGCTCRTTTTAAAAAATACAACTCTCCAATTGCATCATTTATTGAAAAAACAATCCTTTCTACTTTGAATTGCCTTTGCACTTTCATCAAAAACCAATTGACATGAAAACAAAAACAAACCAATTAACTACACAGTAGTTTCCTTTTATCTGTAGTTCTTCTTTCTGTGGTTTTAGTTACCGTTGGTCCATCATGGTCCAAAAATATTAAATGGAAAATTCCAGAAACAAACATTTTATAAACTCTAAACTGTATGACATTCTGAGTAGCATGATAAAATCCTGCACCATCCAGATCCAGCCTGACCAGGCTGTCCAGTGTATCCATACTGTATATAATACCTGCCTGTTAAGTCATTTAGTAGCCATTGTGGTCATCCGATCAACTGTCATGTGCTTGTGCTCATGTAACACTTATTTAATAATGRCCCCAAAGTATAAGAGTAGTGATKCTGGCAATCTGAATATGTCACAGAGAAGGTATAAAGTACTCCCTTAAAGTAAAAAGGTGAAAGTTCTCAATTAAAAAACAAAACGTATTGAATTTGCTAAGATCTATAATAAAATGAATCCTATTAGAGAAATTTGTATTGATTTTGCTATCACAACCATAGTGTATGAGAAGTGCTTGGTTAAAACAAAAAACCTAGGATTAGAGTGTTTGGTACTACCATTAGATTTAGGTCTCTGCTGGGGGTCTTGGAACATATCCTTTGTGGATAAAGGGGGACTACCATATTTGTGTGGGTCTATTTCTAAATTCTAGTGTAACTTATTGACCTATGTGTCTATCCTTTGACCAAGGCCACACTTTTTTTGGAGGGGGTACTGGGGATTGAACAAGGGGTGCTTTATGACTTAGCTATCTCCCCAGTCCTTTTTATTTGGGGGCAGGGTCTCATTATTGCTGAGGCTGACCTCAAACTTGTCATCCTCCTGCCTCAGCCTCCCAAGTCACTGAGATGACACCCACCACACCAGGTTCACTCTTTTGTGGGGGGTGT